CAGGATGACGGGGACCTTGCCTTGTTCTCTGCTGCATCCCAGAGCCTGGCAGAGAACAGACGGCAAAAATATTCCTTGCGCATGTTTGGAATGGAGACTCTAATTTAAATAGTCCACTTCCTCACCTCTCCAATGGGGAAACTGAGGCAGACTCTTGACACGCCACTCAGACCCCAGTGCTGTGCCATAACCACTTGACTGTCTGCCTCACACACCAGAGGCAGAGCTTCCAAGTAGGGACCCCCTTCAAACCTGACTTTCTTTTCCTAGTTTCTAGTCCGGGGTGATCCATTCAGAAGGTGCTAAATAAATGCGTGTTGCACGAATAAAGCTGTCCATCTTCCTCCCTCAGATTTCCAAAGCCACGATCAACAGAGGCATTCACAGGTTAAGGGACTTGCTGCCCAAGGTCTTACAAGCCCAGCTAGGACGTAGCAGACCTTAAACTCTGCACGCTAGATGCAATGGCCACAGCTTCTGAGCTCCTCTGGCTCTTGGCCCTCACTCCTGCCCCACCAAATTTGGCCTGGCCAACTGCAAACCCGGCAGGCACCTTGTCCTGGGGTTTGAAATGAGCGAAGCCTCTCTTAATTAGGAAATTAATTCCATTCAGCCCAGATTGATCTGTGGTCAGCCTCTCCTTGGGGGCCCTCCAGGAGCAGGTGGAAAATAAGCAAGGCTTGTTTCTATCCTATCCCTGCACACCACTCTGACGATCAACCAGCTGAGGGTCGAAGGCATCCTCCAGGCAGACGGAGGGGGCGGGGAGTGACACCCACAGCCAACGTGGTCCTCCCTCCAGGCAGCAGACACAGCTCTCCCACCGCCCTGCTCAGCCCCCGCCTCCTCACGGGAGGAGCCATCCAACTGGTCTTGCAGGCGCCTCCTTGGCAAAGCCTGATGCGCAGGAGGCAAGGAGCCTTGCATCTTCCTCCTATCCCCCAGGCTCCCTCATGATCCCCTGGCTCCTGGGAGCTCTTTATCTATCTCTCTTCTCAGAGGTGGCTCGGGGCTCTGTGGCCAGGGGACACCCCACAGGCTAGGTCCCATCCCATCTGTTCCGGGTGAAGGGGGGAGTCACTCTAAGTGCTCCCACACCTGCTGCCCAGCTCCCAGCCCAGGACCAGTCAGAACAATCTTGGGAAATGAGTCACCCACATGCCACCTTCCTTTGAGCCCAGTCTGTGGCTGGCTTCACGAGCCCCTCAGCCATGGGCACACAGCGGCCTGCAGGCCCTTCACACCTGGACCCCAAACTCCAAGGCAGTGGGGCAGAGGCAGGAAACCAAGGGAGATGAACCCTGTCCCTCTGGAGTTACTTGGAAAGTCTGATTCAGATTCCACTCAACCAGAAAGGAAAGGAAACCAGGAGCTTGCTTACTGTACTCCTTTCATTCTACAGGTGGAAGAATTACGGCCCAGAGAGGGAAAGTGACTTGCCCAAAGCCCCATAGCACACATTAGAGGCAAAGCTGGAACTAGCACTCTAGACTCCTGACTTCTAATTTGGCCCCTCTGCACTCTACTGGCTGTCTCTCAAACTCTTCCTGCCCACAAGGGCTAAGCATAGAACTCAAGCCTTATAAAACTAAACATCAGAGGTTGCAAGAACCTTTGAGATTTTACAGCAAACATTTAATAGAAGCATTGTACAGAAGAGCATCCACTCAATGTACAGAAGAGAAAATCAAGGCCCATAAAGGTTACAGGACCTACACGAAGTCACACAACCAGGCACGGGCAGAGCAGGACTCCCAGACCCCCACTTAAGTGCTCTTTCTGCCAACAGGTTCTAGGTGGGAGGGTTCCACCTGTGGGGATGGGGAAGGGGTGGAGTTGACCTCGGGCCTCAGTCCCACTGAAACAAGGTGTGGCCCAGAGAGCCTTGTCCAGCCTCTGTACCCAACCCAGGGGTCCAGGAGACCACTGGGAAAGCAATGGCTGAGAAGATTTTCACGTATTTGCAGAAAATATAGGGAAATTTCCCAATTAAAATGGATTTCTGAGATCACAGAGCTGGCACTTTTAAGAACAAGCCAATGAGGCACACATGCCTGCCCTTTTTCATCCAAAAGGGCGCTGCCAGAGCTTGGAAGGAAAGGGTCAGCAGCAAGAAAGAACAGGGCCTACTGGTGCCAGAGGGAGGGGGCCGGGTGGGTGGAGATAGGGTCCCAGGACAGGACTGATCACAGACCAGGCAGCATCTGAACCAAGTCTGGTTCCTGATCCATGCTCTTCACCCTGACCTCATGCTGAAGAGACTTACAGAGACCACTCCAGTCCCTGAGCCCTCTCTCACCTGGGGACAGACCCAGATTCACAAGGGAAAGTCTTGCTAGGATGCTTGAGTAAAAGCTGTGGATGCAGACGTCCTCCCCACGCCCATCCCCGCCCCTGCCCCCAGCTGTCCCAACTAAGTGCTTTCTGGCTGGGAAAAACGCTTCAACAGCCCTGGCTGCCTAAGGCAATTCAATTATGAAATTTACCACATTAGATGAAAACCAGCATCTCAATCAGCCAATTCATTTGCGTCTGGCCACTCTGTTTTCTCATGCCAGCTCTGCCTGGCCCCTCCCTGGCCAGGCCACACCCACACCCCCTGGCTGGTCCAGAAGGACTAAGGGCTCAGGCCATGGGCTGGTCTTTGGCGCTGGTAGTGGGTTCTCCCAGGACCCCTGAGCAGAGAGGCTGCATCCAGGAGCCATCCATCTTCCTGGGGACTCCCGGGACTACTGACTCCACAGGCCAGACCACCACAGTCCCAGGTGAACCTTACCATCCCCTCCTACCTGCATTCTCCCTGACCTCAACCTGCACCTGCCTTGAGGCTGGCAATGAAATGGCCTCTGGGTGAAGTGGGAGTGGGTGGTGGGAGAAGGCAGCCGCCCAGGGCCTGGAATACCCCGTGCCCCTCCTGTTCCCCTCAAGTCCCCTGGCAGCCTTTATCACTGGGGTACTGTGCACATCTCTATGTGTCAGGACCCCTAATCCACGTGCCAGCACACCACCCTCGTCTAGGAGCTCCTTGAAGGCAGGGTCCCAATCAATACCCTTCAAACAATGAAAGAACTAACAATGAATGAACCACTCACTAAATAACACTCCCTCGAAACCCTCTTGGGCATCCTTGTGATAGATGGGAAGAACCAAGCCTACTTTCACTGCAGACCTGGCAGTCCCAGGCCTGGGTCATCTTCCTCTTTCCTTCCTGCCCTCCTCTTCCCACACTGGGTGCTTGCAGGTTTAAAACACTATTAACGGGCATCAGGCTGCAGAAGCTGTCTCCGACGTGGAGTGTGCAGCTCGCCCACAGCTCCTCTCTCTGCACCACAAACATAAATCTGGCTGCAGCACGAGCCCCAGGACCAAAGTTTCTACCATCTCTCTCTACCTTCCTTTTAACCACCTCCCTGGAGTCACTTCCTGACAAACGGAATGACTCAAGATCGAGACAGCTGCCGGGACTGGAAGAAGACTGACTCCTTCAACCTCCACAGGCACAGCTTGGGGACTCAAGGAGCCCCGGCCTTAGAAGACACCAAATCTGGCCCCCGTGGGCTGGACCTTGTATCCCACTTCTCCCAGCCTCCAAATGCAAGCCTCACCAACATCCCCTAGGAATCCTAACAGCACAACTGGGCCCACTGAGCATCACTCCCACCTATGAATGGGGAGACTGAAGAGAGGGTCCCAAAGGGCCTGACACCAAGTCACAGTCACCAGAGCCTGGTCCACAACAAGAACGTGGGGTTCTTGCCTCCTCTCCCAGTGCCACTAGCAACTTCCCTCACCCGCTCACACCAGCAGAGTGAAAGCAAAAGGCCCAGACACACCTGGTGTTCTCCGCCCTGACTTGCCAGGGAAGGCCAAAGCTCAGGGTGCCTTCCCGCTGCTCAGAGCAACCCCGCAGGACCCAAGAGCACCCAGATTCAACCTGCGGGGCTCTGGGTCGCCCCTGCCCCAATCCCTTTGATCAGGTCTCTACACAGATTTTTCTTTGCTCAAAAATAGTGGAAACAAACTTAAAGGGCTTTGAAGCAGCAACACAAAAAAGTTGTCTGGTACCCCTGGGGGCCTAGTCTTCTGAAGCAAAAGCTTCTCAAGCAACTACGAGGGGGGGAAGGAGGAGTGGAGGCGTGCCCAAGTGCGGTGGGGTCCTGGAGCCAGAGCAAGACCGGGTATGAGGACAGCCGGGCTGGACGAGGCTTGCTCTGCACCTGCCAGGGTGGCTGCCACCACGGTGGACAGGTGAGTGGGACTTACAGCGTGGCATCACTGCTCTGCTATCCACAGCTCTCTAAACAGAGACAAGGGGCCCTGTCAGGCGGGACATGAACGGCCGGGGGCAGAGGGGCGGCGGGCTCCGGCCCCGGCTAGCGTGGACGACGTTTCCCTGGCTAACCCCTCGGCCCTCTCTCAACACGAGGCAGGCAGCCATCCGGCCCTCGGCGTCCAATGCGCGGGGACTCGGCCGGCCGGGGCGCAGAGCCCGGCGCTCACATCCTCAAAGACAAGCAGCCTCCTCTTTCCAGGATCGATAGTAATTTTTTAAAAAGAGAGTCTGCGGACTCAATGAATCAACCACTCCCAGGGGAAAGAGTGTAGCTCCCGCGCGCAACATCCATTTGCAAAACAATTCATTCCCTCGCCCAGCGCTCCGAGCAAATGCCCTCGCCGGGTCCCCAGGCACGCGCGAGGCCGGAGGGGCCGCCGTTGGGGAGGGGCGGCTGACTACGGTCCCCTCCCCACCATTGTCCCCGACTCCAGTCCCCCTAGACCCCGCGGGGGCCGGGACGGCTCCGGGGACCAAGCCCCGCTGTGCTCATCCCGCAGGCGGCCCCGCGGAGGCTCCCTCTGCCGGGGGCTCCCACGGGGGGCGCGCAGACCCGGCGCCCCGGTCCCTGTCCGGGGCTGGGGGGGCGACAAGTGCCGGCGGCCAGGCGCGGCAAGAGCTGCCGGAGGTCGCGCCCCCAGACCAGCCCAAGCCAGCACAGGTACTCACCGCTCCGGCGCCGCCGCCGCCGCCGCCGCCGCCGCCGCGCTCAGAACGCCCCCGCCGCCGCGCCGCCGCTCCCCTCCCCCGGCTCACCACAGCCCGAGAGCACTGCCGCCGCGGTACAGCCAGGCGCCGCCAACAAACTAGTTTCTCGGCCTTCCCGCCCCGCCTCCCGGCCCGAAGCCAATCAGAGGCGGTGCTTCTGTGACGGATGGGCGGCTGAACCTGTAGTTCCGTCCGCAGGAGGAGACAGGGGTGGGGGCCCGGGCAGCGCCGGGACCGTGAGGGGGCGGGGCGGGGAGAGGAAAAGGACTTCGACCAGATTCTTAAAGCGACAGGCGCCTGCCCGCCCCCGCGGCCGAAGTTTGGGAACGAAATCGGACGGTGGTCTAGAGCTTTCCGAAGCAGGGAACTTTGTAGATGGCACATGCCTCTCTGTACCTAGTCTGCGGAGCTACACTTTTGGTTGTGAACATGTTACGGAAACCTTTCTTTTTAGTCTGGGTTTGTTTCAATGTTTGGGATTTTCTGCTGTCACTAAACCCCGTCTGTACTTGGAATATGTATTTTTCAGGGTACTTCGGCTCTCCTACCCGTGTCATTTCTCACCAAGTTGCTCTTGTAAGCCAACCTTCAGATATTCATTCATTCGTTAATTCATTCCACAAACGTTACTGGACGCCTGCGGAGGGGGTAGTCTCTTAGCGGGGAATGATCTTTCATTTCTTGTTCTTGCCTTCTGGGTTTGCGTCTCGTTCCACCACTTCAGGTTACTGGGCATCCAGTTTCTTCATCTGTAACGTGGCAGGTAAAAAGTCCTCATAGGATTATTTACGGATTTAAAGGAGACAAACACCTGTGACAAAATCAGTGCGCAATAAATGTCCTTTTTTTTCTCGCGACCACTGAAAATTGATACTTTAGGTAGGTCACTTAAGGGTACAAAAAGCCCTGGTAAGGTACAGAAAGTGATAAGTGTTGTAAGAGCCACGTGTAGGGCGGGGAGAATTCTCAGGAAGCAGAGGTCACTGATGGAAGGTGCCAGGAAGGTTTATGGAGGGGGAGGGGACTGCACAAAAGATGTGGAGGAGCGGTGGGATTTTGACTGGGGAAACTGAGGAGAGCCCACGGGTAGAAAGCTGTTTAGATCAGAACAAAGAGATTCCAGACTTAAAAGGCTGTGAGATGATAGAGAAGACACCATGAGGGAAACCATTTTGGGGAAAACAGTAAGGTATAGAGGAAAGCAGCCTGAGATCTGGGTTTGAATCCAGGCTCTACCCCTCAAGAGCTGTGTAGACTGGAGGCAGATTGCTTAGGTTCTCTGAGAGTTGGATTCTTACTGGTGAAAGGAGGATTCTAGAACCTATCTTGCAGGATTATTGTGAAGATTAAATAATAGAACATGTGTAATGGGCCTGGCACCTACTAAGTGCTCAAAATAGGTTTGTGTATCCATTTGGCCTAGATCTGGAGACCTTCAAGACAGGAGGGTTTTGACATGTAAAAGCAGTCTCTGCCAGAGGGAAGACGCTAGCCAAGTGTGCAGTTAAGGTGCCTTCCAACGGGAAAAGACCACATCGAAATAATTGGTCCATTAAAGAATTATGACCCAGATCACATTTGTAGTTTAGCATTCTGCCAATTTTCTAGAGCTTGAGTATTTATATAATTGTTGGTTGGATGAAGCTCCACATGCAAAATTGATTCTTAGCAAGTTCCTAATCATTGCTTATTATTCCATTCAGATTCTCTGTGAAATTATAAGTGCCAACTATCTAAAATCTGGTCCACATTATCATTTTTCCCCTCTCCAACTCAAAGGCTTAAATTAGGTACTGGAATATATTAAAATCAAACACAGAGAACAGACCGGAATCAGACCAAGAACATGTTGCGAGTTATTGAATTAAGATATGATTTGAAAGGAAAAGAGGAGATGAAGTTTGCTTTGCCATCTGTCTCAGCCCTCACTGTAGACCCTGGAGCATACCCACCATCATAGCCCCTCCCAGCTAGTGTTGTAATGACCCACTTACCTGTTAGTCCAACCCATTGCACAGGGAGTTCTAGAAGGGCAGGGACCGTGGCATCTGTAAATCCTTGGTTCCTCACACAAGTTGTCTACACAGTTTTGAAATACTATGAGTAAATCTCATATCAGTTAGGATTAGCTTTAGCTACAGATGGCAGAAAACTCAAAATAACTGTGAATTTTAAAAAGATAAAAGTTTGTTTCTTGCTCATGAAAAATAAATCTGAAGTTAAGTAATCCATGACTGGTCGGCAGCTCCACAGTCATCAAGAACTCCTGTATCTCCATTCTGCCATCCTTGATGCTTGGTTTCCATTTGCAGTTGCCTCATGGTCCAAAATGGCTGCTGGAGCTCCAGCTATAACATCCATATTTTAGACTGCAGGAAGGAGTAAGAGTAGAAGAGCAGCTGTGTGCCTCTCAAAGCTCCATTTAAGCAGGCTGCACAAGTCCCATACAATACTTCCATTTACGTCTTATGTAGACATTTATATGAGTGCGTTGCCTCTCCAGACAGAGTCAGAGTTCTTTTACCAAGAAAGAGGGAACAGATTTTTGGTGTCAATCAACAGTCCTGGCCAGCACCCTTTTTTTTCCCTCCTGGCATTGCCATCTGTCCAGTAGTCATGTGGTTCAGGGTCTAAAGTCTTAGAAATTTTGAGATGATGTACAGAATTCAATACATATTTGTTAATAGATGATTGAGCTCTTGGTTTTTCTACTTCTTTGGATGTTCCTTTTCAGTCTCCTCTGCTGATTCTCCTCACTTCCCAGATGTCCAAATATTAGAGTGTCTGGGAGGTGAGTGAGATAGAGAAGACCTCCTCCCTTCCTACGTTCATACTCTAGGTGATTTCATCTAGGCCCATGGCTTGTGTTCTTACAAATCCCGGAACTCCCAAATCTGTACTCCCACCCCAGCTGCTCCATGACCTCCAGGCCCACAGGTGCTTACTTGATGTCTAGGGCCACCCCACCTTAACATGCCCCCATTGAGCCTCTGTGTGCTGCCCTGCAAAAGATATCCTGCTCCTCTCGTGGGCTTCCCCATCTCAGCACAGGACAACTCACTCTTTTGCTCAAACAAATCTGGGCACCATGCTCTCATACCCCACCTCCAATCGTTGTCCAGTCTGAGCACTTCTTACCGCCTTCACTGCCACCACCAGCTGGTCCAAGCGACCATCATCTCTTGTCTGGGGCATTGCGGCAGCCTCCCGACTCACCTCCCTGCTTCCACCCCTGCCGCCTAGAGTCTTTTCTCAACACAGCAGCCAGAGGGATCTTTTTACAATGTAATGTGATAACGTCTGTCCTCCTGTGGCTCCCATCTCCCTCAGAGTGAAGCCAGAGTCCTTACTGTTGATCTACAGGCCTGACCTGATCTGGCCTGCACCACCCCTCACACTTCATTCTCCACCTCCCTGTCCCCCACTCGCTCGACTCCAGACCCACTCCCCCCTTTCTAGGCCTGAAACAAGCCAGTCCCACTGCGGGGCCTTTGCCTTTGCAGGCTCCACCTGGCAGCTCTTCCTCAGTTATCCACCCGGCTCACTCCCTGGCTTCTTCAGGGTTCTACTCAAGTGTCACCTTGCCACATAGGCCTCCCTAACCACCTTCTATGAAGTAACCATATTCCCTACCCTGGCCATCCCTGGCCTTACTCCATATCTCCATAGCACTTCTGTCCACCTGAAGTTATATTATATTATGTTATGTTTTGTTTGTTATTATATGGAGAGAGAGAGAGCGAGAGAAGCCTCCCTGACGTCTTGAGCTGGTCCTGCAGGCACAGCTGGGCCTTGGTGTTCTCCTATTGAACATAAGCAATCTCACAGAACATCAGAGTCAGACAAGGCTACTCCGTGACCTCGACGGGTCGAGACAGAGATAAGACCACTCCATGATCATGTCTGAACACAGCAAAACACGATCATTGTCCAAGCCACAAAATGCCAACGCCCACCGCCCCCGGTTAGTATGAGTGACAGCTGCTTCTTCATTGATTACAGCTCTGGCCTCCGTCTAGTCTCCTTTTAGGTAAGATTTACTGAGATATTCATTACAAACTCACCCCTGCTTTCTGACAGCACCCAATCCAGAGCACACCGCCCCTTCCTCGCGTGCTCTCCCAAGCCACCCAGCCAAAGCCCAAATCCTATTTAGGTTCTTTCTAACACCCTGGTACTGAGACGCCCCTTGGTTCCCCCTTGGTGTGTGGTCTCCCTCGCTGCAACAAGTAACAAACCCAACCTGTTCATCGACAGGTGTTCCTGGCTGACAGTGCAGATACACAAACATTGACACTACCGATACACACATACATACACTGAATGTGGCGTGGGGGGATTTAATTGTCTGTCTGCGCTCCCAGAATGTAAGCTCCGTGAGAGCAGGGCCTTCGTTTCACTTGCTGCTCCATTTCCAGACCCAGAACAGTGCCTGGCACACAGGTGGCTCTCTGTAAATATTTGCTCAGAGATTTCAGAATGATTTGAAGGCAGCTGCAGGGGCACTGTTAGCCACCGTTAAGTCAGTGGTTTCTGATCTCAGGGTTGGATAAACTCAACTCAGTCTTCAGTCTTTGGTCAACCTACCAAAAGACGAACCCCTGGTCAGGTGGGGCCTGCGCAGGGCAGGGCTGTGGCAGGAGATGGCTTTGTCAGCTTCAGTTCCCAAGGGAGGGGCAGGGTGTCGGTGGCTGCCCTTCTGGGGGAGCACTGGAATCAAGGTCACTGCTGAGTCACCGCTTCAGCTCTGGGTGCACAAAGGCACAGCGCAGGGCGCGGCCTGGCAGGGACGGAGGCTGTGGGAGGCGGGAGGGTGTCCTGCCTTCTCCTGGTGGCAGTGTGGGGACGGCATGAGGAAGAAGCCCTTCTGAGCTCACTGCTCCTTCTACCCCAAGAAGCTGCAGCCACTCAGCGGTCTCCATTCAGCAGTGCCCATGAAGCCCCTCTCCCCCACATGTCCTCTCCCCACACCACCAGAAATG